CCGGCGCGCGCGCACTCAGCGCGCACACCCTCCTCGCGCACACCCTCCTCCAACCACATCACAACCACCGCCGGGCGGGCCAGGGAACAGCGGGTCGGGATGCGGCTGAGGGATACCTCGCCTGCTGGCGATGGGACCGGATGGTTTCCAGAGCTCCCTTCCAAGGCAAGGCATCATTCCAGACCTTTCCTTCCCGCGCTAAGCTTTTCCAAATCCACATCCCCCAAGATGAAGGCGGGCGGGCGCACCTTTGAAACACGGTTCTTAATAAAAACCACTCCGTAAACCCGCCTCTGGGGGCCGTCAGGGCTTGCACTTCGCCCCGCTTGTTTTTTGTTGTTGTTCTTTTGTTTGTTGTTGCGGGCGACTGTTTGGAGAGCGACCTCCCTGTGCAGAGTCGGGAGGGGCAGTCGCCTGAGAGGCAAAGCTGAGAAAGCTGCTCAGCCGCTCGTGGGGCAGCGCGGATTCCTTCCTCTTGGCGCGTGATCTTGACGGACGTTTGTGCTCACGGACACCCCAAATAGGACCTCGTGAGTAACGGAAGGGGCTCGGAGAGGAGAAGGTGCTCTGAATACATGTGATTTACCCAAGTTGGAAGCCCTTTTGAAGAGCATAACTAGAACCCAGATTTTGTGTATAACTCCTCACACTTAAAAAAAAAGTTAAGACCAGATAATTTTTCAAAAGGAAACCGTAGCCAACGGGCAGTACAATTCTGATTGAGCAAATAGCGCTGTCAATCATTTAAAGCGTAGAGCCCAAGCTCCCGGAATCTAGGGGCGGAGCAACACGGGGGAGGGGCAATTTGGAAGTCAGGAGGTGGTGGAATGGGGGTGGGGCCTCCATGTCCCCGCCCCTGTCCCCGCCCCTTTGATTGTGCTTGCAGTGTTTCCAGTGCCCCACAGCGCATTTACACCACACCCTCTTGTGCTGGAGTTTGGGAAGTTGGGGCTGGGGAGTAGGTCTGTCTGAATCTCCCATCCCCATCTCCACCTTTCTCTTTAGGAAATATCTGAATTGGGGAGGAGAAAAAGGAGTTTAGTTCTGGGACTACAGCTCAGGCCAGAACACCGACCCCCTCCGTCCCTCCCGCAGCCCTCCCTCACCGCGCACGTCTAAGGTATTCCTTACCTACCAGCAGGAAAAGGCATTTTATACTGTGATATACTCCCCCCGCCGGCCCCCCCATCAGATCGAATCAAAACGAACGAGCGCTCGGGTAAAAGGCGACCAAAGCCCTTCTCCAAAAAGGCGCTGATTACCTAGAGAGTGTGTGTACGTGTTGGGGTGGAGGAGGGGGGCGGGGGTTTGCACAGAAGGGACAAAAGTGGAATTAGTTACGAAGACCTTACGGTACAGCTCGCGCTCTAAGCTCCTAGTTAAAACAATATTTTAACAAAAGATCACCCCAGCCCCCATCCCCGGAACCAAGTTCAGGAAAACCATACTGGCTGGAGGGGGGTGGAGGGAGTTGATAATGGACATACACTCTGCGATTGGAGGTGGGGACCAGGGCCTCTGGACCACGAGTCAGTATTCAGACTAGGAGAATGGGTAGGTGCGGTGGTGTGGGCGCCAAGGGAAGTAGAAGGAGCGAAAACTGGGAGGGAGAGGCGCTCGACTAGACAGCAGCCTAGGGTCACAGAACCGTGCCAGGGACCCTCCCCGCCCAACTCCCGACTACACCCGGCTGGGCACAGCGCGCAGTCCCGCCGTCCCCGCGCTCCCCGCCCGCGCGTCCAGCGGCTGCCAGGCCCCCGGAGGAGCGCGCTCACCGATCTTGGTTTGCTCGCGGTAGCTCTTCTCGTTGAGGCAAACCCCGCGGCCGTGCAGCAGGGCGTGCAGCGGCTTCTCCTCGTCCTGCCGGGGGAGGCAGCGCAGCCCCTGGGCGCAGCGCTCCGTGTAGACGCCGCACGACTGCCCCTCGGCCAGGGCGCACGTCATGCAGCAGCCGCAGCCCGGCTCCTTGACCAGCTCGCAGCCCAGCGGGCTGGGGGGGCACATGGACAGGGCTTTCTCGTCGCAGGGCTCACAGTGCACGAAGGAGCCCAGGCCTTGGGCGGGCCCGGCGCAGGCGGCCAGCAGCAGGAGGACCGCGGTGAGAACCATCTTCTCGGGTCTCTCCCTTTACCTCGGGGCGGGGTCGAGAGCGCGAGAGCAGGGAGATAGGGCCCAAGAGAAAGTCGGGGACTGTTTTTTTGGGGGGTGGTGGTGTGAGTTTCACGCAGGGAGAGCAGGTGCCTTCTTCCCGACACGTGCAAAATGCAGGGAGAGACTGAGGGACTGCGGTGCCTGCAAGCAGGTCCCACTTGCAAGGAGGGAAGCCTCGCAACAGGTGGGGGCGCAAAAAGAGCAGCGCCAGGTGCACCGCGAGGGCGCGAAGGTCAAGGAAGTCCCCCAAGGCGACCTGCTCACACCGTAGGGGAAAAGTCTCGAAATTGCCAGCCGAGCCACCACCGGAATAATGAGCTCGGAGGCCGTGGAAGAGAAGGGAGGGGTCGGCAGGGATTTGTCTATAAATTTTTTTTGGTTGAAAATCTAAAATACTCCCAGCTCCTTCCTAACCTTCTGCGGCCAGGGACCCGCGGCGGCCGCTGAACAGGTAAAAGAAGCGGCGGCCGCGGCAGAGAGGATGAGGAAAAACGTGGAAACTAAGGAGACGGAGGAAAAAACAACAAAAAAAAAGACCAAAAAACCTAACACTTCTCCCACTCTACCACCACCTCCTCGAAATTCGCAGATTCAACGTCAAAAACCCGGAGAAGGGTGCAAACGGAGGGAGGGGGTGATTGAAAGGAGAGGGGGGAAAAAAGGGGGAAAAAAAAGAAAAGAAAAAGGAAAAACCACACTGCTTCGCAGCGCTTTGGTACCTCTTTCCCCCAGCAGAAGTTTCCAAAGAGACTACGGGCTCCGGTGGAGCCGGCGCTTTTAAATAGACGGCCCCTGGCGGCCAGCCAGTTTGTAGCTGCAATTTGAGCTCCCCAACACCCAACCCAGGCAAGGATGCCAAAGAGCTTTGCAGCACAAACTCACATGGGGTGGGGGTGGGGAGAGGCCTTCTAGACACGCGGGGGCTCCTCGGCGCTCTCGAACAGCTCCCCTCCCCCCGGAATGTAGGAAAGGGGCGCAGGGACTGGGCCCCGAGGCTGGGGAGTGGTGAGGGGTGGGGGTGGACAAGTGGAAGAGCAGGGTGGGCACAATGAAAACTTGTCTCTCCCTCCCTCCTGTTTCTTCAGGAGCCAAAGTACAGGCTGGAGGGAGAATTTTCTATCAGCCAACTAGTGCCTCCGAAGTTGTTCCTAAGCTTTGTTAAATGGCTATTAGCTAGTTACCATGCAAGGTGTGTGTGTGTGTGTGTGTGTGTGTGTGTGAGTGTGTGTGGTGAGGGGAGGTTGTGCATTAGGCTGGCCAGTGATGCGTGGTGCATTGAATTAAAAAGAAAGGATTTCCCTTGTCCAAAATCTGAGTAAAGTGCTTTAATTTCCGGTTTTGTCTGTTATTGGTAAAGTGACTGACACTTTGCCTTGGAACGTGTGTGTTTGCACTAGCGTGCACAAGCGCACCTCAAGAGTGTTAGGTGCAGAGAGTTACAGAAATGACAGGACCCTGTCAGAAAACTCTGAAGGCTGAAAAGCCACATCCAGTGACCTGAAGTCTCCAGGGTTTATCTATGGAAAGAAGGCAGGTGGCCGTGAGACTTTGCCTCCACCTGGTTTTCAGGGATATTTCTGCTGGGCAGAGCCACATCCCTGGAGGGCATGGGTGGCAGGTCAGAGGCAGCCCTCGTTGTAAGGTTACTTGGTGCAAGCAGCACCATCCCAGAAATCTGAGCTGGGAAGGCCACAGGACTTGCTCCCCTAGAGATCCTGACCCAGCACATTACCATCCCTCTGGAAGCCTCAGGCAGTCTACTCGGACACTCCAATCTTCCCTTCCTTCCCTAGTCAAAGGATAGAAACCAACACTTTAGAAGCAGGAAGGTGCCAATTTTAACTCGTTTGGAAATTGACATGGGCAAGTCACTGGACTTCACAGTCCAAGAAAAAGGCCAATTGATGACTACACCGTTTTGGGGGGGTGCCCTTTGAGGGGAGCTATTGCGCTCTTTGCAGTCTCCTGTCTTCTCATTAGAAATGTTCTAACTTCCCTTTAGTGAAGGGGCTGCATTTCATGAAGTTTGCCACTAGACTGCACCCTTATCTATAAGATTCTTTCTGCAGGACGGCTTTTAAGAAAACATTTCTGTTGCTGGTTTGGTTTAGGAACAACTTGATTTATGCTTTAAACATCTCCAGGATTCTTCTCCCCACTCCCAACTTATCTATTTGCTCAAAGGCATCTTAAAAACAAGGCTCAACTTTAAGGTTGTGCTTTTGCTTGTCTCGCCAAGGGGACTTTAGGTGCTGGCTGGGAGCAGGAATGAACTGTGAGATGTGAGAGAGAGAGAGATTCTCATTGCCTCTCCTCTCTCTGGGGCTTGCTAAGAAAGTAGAGAAGGAATGATGGAGTCTGTGGTGGGAATTGAGCCATGGGTTAGGGCTGTAGAGGGGGCCAAGCAGATTCTGCAAGCCTGAGCATGGGAAGCAACCCCGTAGAAATATATTTATTTCCACGTAGAAATGGACTTAGGTGATGAGGGCTCTAGGAGTGACCCATAGGTCCAGAGCTGTGACCCAAGGGATCCAGGCTTGGCTTCCTACGATGGCACCAAGAGAGAAGACCTTTGGGCAACCCGGGTTCATTTAGAATGATATTTGTCCAAAGGGAGACCGGTGGTTGGCTAAGGCTTGCTTCACTCAGGCTCCCTAATGTATGGCAGCGGAGGGAGAAGGTATTGGTTACAGGATGTTGGATTTAGGGGGATGCCTGCGAGCCTTTCTTCATTCCATTTCTCCCTCCTCTCCCATGCGACAGGCTCGATCCCTTCACAGTCACCATTAGAAGATTGCTTCTGGACGGGGGAAACGAGTTTGCTTCAATGAGGTGAGCTGTGCATGGCTTCTACATGAGGCCAGATGCGAACGTCGGCAGCCAGGTCCCCTTCCCAGAGGTCTCCTTCACTGCTGGCTTACTCTCCCGGTCATGAGCCTCCCAACTCTTCCCCACATCTTTCCTGGAGAAGTAGGAAGTTGAAAATCATCCGCTGTGTCATGTTTCCCCAGAGAGTACCCCTCCCCATTCCTTCAAGGGGTGAACTGCGTATCAAAACCGAGCTCCAAGATACGCAACCAAGTGAAAGGTTTGTGTTTTTCCTTGGGACCACTTTGCCAAGGGTGGACCGCATTTCCGTCTTATAAATCTTTGGAGTCCTTGCTTCTGATCATTTCCCACAGGCTTCTCTGTGAAAGTTCCAAGGGAAGGGTGAATGGTTTGGGAAAGTTAGGCTTTTCGGAGGGGATAAAGTATCCTGGGTTCTTCTGTTTGGAAAGGAAATAAGCCACCCTTGTTTTCTGTCCTTGTTCATTTACCTTCATGCTCCGCTCTCTGTCCTCACAGGGAATGATAAGGACCACGTCCTGGCCAGCCAAATCCACGGCCATTGGGTCCATTCCAATTGAGAACCACCGAACTTAAGAGTGTCCCAAACTGTACATGGTTGTGGGAGCTGACAGCCTCGTCCTTCTCCTGAGGAAGCGGGTGGTGTGTTTGAACTGCTCACTTGGTGGTTAGCTGCTCAACCACTAACCCATAGCATCATCAGTGCACTGTCTACCCCGAACGCCAAACTGCACTCATTGCCATTGTGTTTATGCTGATTTACAGAGACCCTATAGGACTGAGTAGAACAGTTTCCAAGACTGTAACTCTTTAGGGCAGTAGAAAGCCTCATCTTTCTTCTGTGGAGTGGCTGGTGGTTTTGAACTGCTGACCTCAAGGTTAGACATGCGTAAGCACTCCACCACCAGGCTCCTGCATATACTGCCTACATCTTGCCTACAGGGCATACTTATTCTGTTTTAAAGATCTCATGAGATGGATATCAGATCCTTGCCTAGATGGCAGCACTTAGGAAGCATCTAAAGTTACTGCCTCCTTCTGGTCCCCAATCAAGGTAGCCAAGCTTCAAGGAATGATGCCCACAGTTGCTTGGGCCCTTCCTCAGATAGGGGAACTTCAGCAAGCCTGAGTAAGGCCTGTGCTTCAGCAGCTGAAGGAAGCTTTGTTGTAGTGACATTGCCGAAGGCTAGGTGGCAGAATAGATACACCATTAAAAACAGGCCTCCTTTCAGGAAGGTGAAAGAACCAGACGGGGAAGGAACCCCCTAACAATGGAGATGCAGCCGGGCGGGGAGCACAAGATTGTGTGGAGGGACAGAGATGAACACCTTGTGGTCCATATGTCATGTCATTCCAAGCTCAGCACTTCAAGTTCTGCCCAAACAGCACCAATCCGGCCTTACAGGCAAACCCTCCAACATTTCCCCAGGATCTCTCTTTGGTCTTGGTGACTTTACCTGGGAGACAGGAAAGCACCAGGCCAGAATTTGATGATTTTGGGTCCATCAAAGAATGTGTGTCAGCTTCCTGGTGAAATTACAAAGCGGTTTTCAGGCGAAGTGCATAGAAAGTTATGATGTAAAAATGTGAATTAGGGTATGTTCTAAACCCACAAAGAAGAGCAGAAAGAAGATCAGGTAGCAGATACCCTGTCCTCACGAGAGGGATCCCACACATGGTACTGCTTTGTCATCGCTGTTTCAGAATTCTCTAAAAAGAGAAGAAATCAAAGGTTACAGGTGGCGGCTCTACCTGCTCCTCTCTTCCCTCCGCCAGGTAGTTTCTCTTCTGCAATGGGGTCTCTGTCCTTTCTGCCCGGGATTTGCAGCTCTTATACAACATTTTTCATAGAAGAGAGTAGAATGATTTTGAGGATGAGACTGCTGGCTCTTCGGAGCTAATTTGTTAAAGGCACTCCCTGTTGTGGTAGCTTAAGTAGAGTCTACATCGACCCTGAGGCTGAATGTTGAAGGAGCAAGAGCCAGCTGCAGCTGACAGTAATTTATGTATCTGTGTGAGCAGTATAAAGTCCTAACCAAACTCTCTGCCCTCGAGGCAATTCTAACTCCTGGCGACCCTCTGTGGCAGGGCAGACCTGCCCCTGTGGGTTTCTGAGACTGGAATTCTTTACTGGGAGCTGAAAGTCTTGTATTTCTCCCATGGAGTGGCTGGTGATTTCGAACTTCTGACCTTGCAGTTAGACGACCCACGTGGAACCACTGTGCCAACAGGGCTCTGGTGAGCAGGATATAATTGAATGATTTTAATCTTCAACATCTAGGAGGCTGCTGGAGGTCCTCGAGACAGGGAAGAATCATAAGGAATCTCTAAGGTCAGTCGAAGGTTGGCAGTCTCCTGTCTTCCCAGATCATGAGATCTGGCATGTGCCTACAACGAACAGCCCTGAAGCAGTTTTGAATTTTGGACGAAGGAGATTGACCAGGAGAACTGCCCTGTGCAGATCTAGAAGGCAGTGCTGGGAGATGCTGGAAGGATCTGGAAGGGAGAGACATGGCTAGGGGGACAAGATAGGAGCCTAGGAGGAAAGAGAAAGAGGTTTAGCTGCTTGTAGCAGGCTTAAAATTATGTCTTTGTGGCTATAACTGGGTTAAAATCTAACACGTTATCATTTGAGCTCCCTTTTGACCCATTTTAAAGTTGTTCTAGTTGTTAATATTTTCTTCTCAACTGGGGTTTTTCTATATTTTATTGTTATAGCTGTTAGCTTTTTGGACTCATTGTTTTGTATGTTTTTCTGTCTGAAACCCCGGATGTGTGAATCTGTAGAGATAGTCACTGGATCAATGGTTCCCTGGGGGATGGGGGATGGCAGGGGAGGCTGGGGGGAAAGGGGGCACCCAGAACAAGGAGTACAAGAAAAATGAA